GTTCAGCGGTACTGTTGTTGTTGGACCTGTTGGCAGCATTCTACACAGTCGACCATCAGTTACTGGTCCACCACCTTGCCGATGCTGGGATTCAGGGGTTTACCTTGCAATGGCTCATCTCCTTTCTCCAAGGTCAAGGACAGAGAGTGGTGCTAGGGGAGCAGATATCCCAGAGGTACCCACTGGTCCGTGTGGCTCCCCAAGGGGCAGTGCTATCCCCAATGTTATTTAACATCCATATGCGCCCTCTCGCCCAGATTGCTTGGAGGCATAGGCTAGGGTATCGCCAATACACAGATGACACCCAGCTATATCTGTTGTTGGGCAGCCAGTCCGGTTCGACCCTAGATGACCTGGATCAGGCGCTTCAGGATGTGGTGGGCTGGCTTAGACTGAGCCGATTGAAATTAAATCCGACAAAGACGGAGGTCCTGTGCCTGAGTCGGAGCGGGTCGGGGGTAGGGATTCCACTATCTACCTTCAATGGGGCACCGCTGGTGCCAGCGCCGAGGGTCAGGAGTTTGGGAGTGCTCCTGGATGCCGCCTTAATAATGGAGGCCCAGGTAGCAGCCACTGCCAAGACAGCCTTTTACCATCTACGGCTAATTAGGCAGTTGGTTCCCTTCCTCGAATGCAATGATCTGGCAACAATGATGCATGCTATGGTCACCTCGAGATTGGACTACTGCAATGCTCTCTACATGGGGCTGCCCTTGTCCCAAAACTGGAAGCTGCAGCTAGTGCAAAATGTGGCAGCCAGGCTGTTGATGGGTCTCTCCATTCGAGAGCACATCTGGCCTATGCTGAGGGCATTGCACTGGCTTGCAATAGCATACCGGACTGGCTTCAAGGTGCTGTTTTTGACCTTTAAAGCCCTATATGGTCGGGGGCCTGCCTACCTGAGGGACTGCCTTTCCCCACATGTTCCCCAGAGAGCACTGAAGTTGGGGACCCAAAACCGCCTGACTCTCCCCAGCCCAAAATATGCCAGATTGGCCATCACCAGATCTAGGGCCTTCTCAGTGGCGGCTCCACACTGGTGGAATGAGCTCCCTGAGGACATCAGGGCCCTGCGGGACCTTTTACAGTTCCACAGGGCCTGTGAAACAGAGCTCTTCCACCAGGCCTTTGATTAGGAGCCGCCACTGATGAACGAGCTATTGAAAACATCTATTACGGCCCATATGTTACTGGCACTCTACTGGGATACTGGTCTAGTCATACTGGACCACCTTACAACGATTTGCTATTTGTACTTAATCTGCACTTTATATATTATTGTTGGAATTTTATCTGTGTTTTATTGTAATTTTAACACACTGTAAGCCACCAAAATAAATAAATAAATAAAAATAAAGCTGGTAGGAGCCAGTATAGTAAGTCCATGGATGATGTTCATCCATTAAAAAAAATAGTAATCCGGAGGTCCCCACAATTTTTCCAAAGTGCTGCGGAATTAATTACTCTTTTTACCACTGTAGGTAACTAAGTATTTTATTGATAACCTGATTTTGACTTTATATGTACATAAGATATTCACTCACCGGGGTGCAGAGATATGGTGAGGCAATTTATACCACTCAATACGTGGAGCTGGGTAACCAGCAGCTTCACACCAAAGGCTGGTGGAATTATTGTTCACCACGTAGGCCTCAGGTGGAACTGCACAGAAAACGCATACACTGTTCTTTAATAAGCAACATAAAAACTGCGTTATGAAATACAGTTGGGAAAGAAGGTAACATGCCAATAACTCATCTAATACAGCCTTTGGATATGAGCTGGTCTGTTGTTGGCCTGCCCTTCACCCAAGTAAGAGCACAGTCAAGATTTTCTTTCTGTGTGGGATACTTCAGTCCCCCCAACCCCAAAAGGCAGTGAAGTTCGGGGCTGAACTTTGACCCCTATGAGTGATTACAGCATCCTTAATTTTGTGGCCACAGGAAGAGTCAAGATCGGCATTCACACTGCTTAATCAGAGTTCTCTTAGAACTATTTTTGTATCTCTTCTGCAGCATCTCATTTGCCTACAGGAAGAGCAGCAAGTTTTACCCTGAAACCTTTTCACTTTAGTTCATTGGTTGCAATTTAGTTCTTCTTGAACTTTAAGAATATTAGTGGAATGACAGTGAACCGAGCACTTACCTTTCACAGTGACGTTGAAAGTGACTGAGGCATTGGCATCACCATTCTCGGCAAAAAACGTGTACATTCCACTCATTGTTTCCCCCATCCTTCTCAGTGTGAGTGTATTGCTGCACATTCCACAAACAGAAAACAAAAATGCACTGTATAGTCTTTACAGAGACATCCAGACCTGGGGTAATTTTGCATGCTTGCTTCATAGCTTCATAGCCCAAGTGCATTAGTTTCACAAAATATGACATGGGCAACTGAGAAAAATTTGGGGATGAAGGCGTAATTCATACTATACTTCAGGTCATTAATAGCCACCCCGCTTAACACAGTTATTCAAAAGGATCACAATCCAGTATATGCCTCTGTACTTGAATATGATTGAACATGATGCATTGAACTTACAACAATCAATAACCAGTTCACAATTCTACCCTAGCAGAAATAGCAAAAGTAAACCTTCAGAATACAGGTGAGGAATAGCATTTTTAAATACTATTACTTACATTTAAAAAATCTTCCTGAAAGAACAAAATAAGTATGGTAGGGGGGATGCATTGGAACCATTTCCTCCTATTCCTGTACTACTCCATTAGTTGCAGTAAATTATTTATATGAGGAGGCATTCAAAAATATGCCCTACCTGTAGCATGAAATTGAATCCATCTCAGGATTCTACTAAGAACATAAGAACATAAGAGATGCCAATGTTGGATCAGGCCAAAGGCCCATCCAGTCCAACACTCTGTATCACACAGTGGCCAGAAATACCAGTGGGGCCAGGACATTAGAAGCCCTCCCACTGTTGACCCCTCCAGAGTCCCTATCTATACCTTGTGGCTAATAGCCACTGATGGACCTCTGCTCCATATGCTTATCTAATTCCCTTTTAAAGCCGTCCATGCTTGTAGCCGCCACCACTTCCTGTGGCAGTGAATTCCAAGTGTTAATCACTCTTTGGGTGAAGAAGTACTTCCTCTTATCCTTTCTAACCCGACCGCTCAGCAATTTCATGGAGTGCCCACGAGTTCTTGTATTGTGAGAAAGGGAGAAAAGTACCTCTTTCGCTACCTGCTCTTTCCCATGCATAATCTTGTAAACCTCAATCATGTGACCCCTCAGTCGTTGTTTCTCCAAGCTAAAGAGCCCTAAGCGCCTTAACCTTTCCTCATAGGGAAAGTGTTCCAACCCCTTTATCATTCGAGTTGCCCTTTTCTGCACTTTTTCCAAAGCTATAATATCCTTTTTAAGGTGTGGTGACCAGAATTGCACACAGTATTCCAAATGAGGTCGCAACATTGATTTATATAGGGGCATTATGATACTGGCTGATCTGTTTTCAATACCCTTCCTAATAATCCCCAGCATAGCATTGGCCTTCTTTATTGCAGTCACACACTGTCTCGACATTTTCAGTGAGTTATCTACTACAACTCCAAGATCTCTCTCTTGATCTGTCTCTGCCAGTTCAGACCCCATCAACGTGTATTTATAGTTAGGATTTTTGGCTCCAATGTGCATCACCTTGCACTTGGCCACATTGAACCCCATTTGCCATGTTGACGCCCACTCGCCCAACTTTGACAGATCCCTTTGGAGTGCCTCACAATCCTCACTGGTTTTCACCACCCTGAACAACTTCGTATCATCCGCAAATTTAGCCACTTCACTGCTTACTCCCAACTCCAAATCATTAATGAACAAGTTAAAAAGCAGTGGACCAAGTACTGATCCCTGTGGTACCCCACTGCTTACACCCCTCCACTGGGAGAACTGCCCATTTATACTCACTCTCTGTTTTCTATTAATTAGCCAGTTTTTGATCCATAAAAGGACTTGTCCTTTTATCCCATGATTTTTGAGCTTGCTTAGGAGCCTTTGATGAGGAACTTTATCAAAAGCTTTCTGGAAGTCAAGGTAAACAATATCTATTGGATCCCCCTTGTCCACATGTTTGTTCACCCCCTCAAAGAACATTAACAGGTTAGTGAGACAAGATCTTCCCTTACAGAACCCATGTTGAGTCTGCCTCAATAGGTTTTGTTCATCTATGTGCCTACTAATTCTTTCCTTAATAATGGTTTCCACCAATTTACCCGGTATCGACGTCAGACTGACAGGCCTGTAATTTCCCGGATCTCCTCTGGAACCCTTTTTAAAGATGGGAGTGACATTAGCTACCTTCCAGTCCTCAGGAATGGAGGCTGATTTTAAGGAGAGATTACATATTTTTGTCAGGAGATCCACAAGTTCACAATTGAGTTCTTTCAGAACTCTTGGATGTATGCCATCTGGGCCTGGTGATTTATCAGTTTTTAAGTTGTTTATCAGTTTTAGGACCTCCTCTCTCGTCACCTCAATCTGACTCAGGTCTTTCAACACCCCTCCCGAACTCAGCGGCTCTGGAGTGGGCAAGCACCTCTCATCTTCCACAGTGAAGACGGAGGCAAAAAATGCATTTAGCTTCTCAGCCATTTCCCTATCATCCTTCAGTACTCCTTTTACCCCTTGGTCATCCAAGGGCCCCACTGCCTCCCTGGCTGGTTTCCTGTTTCTAATGTATTTGAAGAAAGTTTTATTGTTGGTCTTTACATTTTTTGCTATATGCTCCTCATATTCCCTTTTTGCATGCCTGACCACAGACTTGCATTTTATTTGCCATAGCCTGTGTTCTGTTTTATCAGCCTCACTGTGACTAGCTTTCCACCGCTTAAAGGAATCCTTTTTACCTTTTACAGCTTCCATTACTTTGTTTGTTAACCATGTAGGCTTTTTCTTATACCTGTTTGTGCCTTTCCTAACCTGCGGAATATATTTTATTTGAGCTTCTAGAATTGTAGTTTTAAACAGTTTCCAAGCTTCCCCAATGGTTTTGACCCTTTCTACTTTTCCCTTCAGTTTCCTCCCCACATGTCCCCTCATATCAGAAAAATTACCCCTTTTAAAGTTAAAAGTGGTTGTGTGAGTCTTTTTGGCCAATTCCCTATTTGTACAAATGTTGAACTCAACAACATTATGATCACTGTTCCCAAGTGGTGCAATCACTTTTACATCTCTCACCAGGTCTTGAGTGTTACTTAGGACCAAATCAAGGATCGCCTCTCCCCTGGTAGGTTCCATGACCATCTGCTCCATAGCGCAGTCATTTAGAGTGTCTAGAAACTCAATCTCTTTCTCTCGACTAGAACACATATTGACCCAATCAATGTGTGGGTAGTTAAAATCACCTATTACGACACAGTGTTTTTGTCTAGCTGCTATCTTTAATTCATTCATCATTTTATAATCCTCCTCTATCTTTTGATCCGGTGGGCGATAACAAACTCCCAGTGTTAAGTTTCCTTTTGGCCCCCCTATTTCAACCCACAGAACTTCCAGAAGCGAATCCAATTCTCTTAGCCTCTCAATCTTTCTGGACTTTATACCCTCTCTGACATACAGAGCCACCCCACCTCCAACCCTTCCCCCCCTATCCTTCTGATATAATATATAACCGGGAATAACCGTATCCCACTGATTTTCCTCATCCCACCAAGTTTCTGAAATACCCACAATGTTTATTTTTCCCTCCGACACCAAGCACTCCAACTCCCCGGTTTTACCTCGGACACTTCTAGCATTTGTATAGAAACAGCTGTAATTTCCCATACTAGTTAAGCCTATGTTACTCTGCTGCATGTGTTGCTCAGGCCATCTTGATGAGTGGGGGAGTGAAATGCACTGGAGAAATGGGGAGGCAGCCTTCACTCTCTATTGTTAATGAAATAGTATATCTCAACTGTAGTCACCTCAATGCCAGTACAATCACAACAGTTTGCTAATATGGATGTACATGTGTATCTGGAATCTCTGACAAAATATTGTAGTTTACATTGTTGGGGGAAATGAGATTTTGCTTTCACTATTCATAGTAGGGTAGAATTTGATGCCCATTAGGGCATATGTTTGGATTGCCCAACCAAAGGCTGCACATTTCTTGTGTGCGTGTGTAAAGGGGCATCAAGTCACAGATGACTTTTGGCAACCCCAGCAAGGGGCTTTCAAGGCAAGTGAGAAGCAGAGGTGGTTTACCATTGCCTTCCTCTGCAGAGCCTTCCTTGGTGGTCAGCCTTCCAAGTACCGACCCTGATGAGCATCTGAGATCTGACAAGATTGGACTATACCATGCTGCCTTCCCTCCCTGAGCATTCCTTATGAAATAAAATTATAGTTTGGACAGTTTGGACAGAACAGATCCACAGTCCTTTACCTGGCGTGATTAGAACTCATCCAGCTGTTTAGTGTGACATTTTGGGAGCCACTTGATGGGTTCATATATGTCCACGTCCAGTTATGAACTCCATGGTAAGCATCAATGAGCACCTGCAGGTCAAGGCTTTCAGTCAAACTCACCTCCTGGCTTGTGTTCTGTAGGGTGGACAAATGAACAAAGCCTCTCTCTGAAAAGAAAAAAAAGAATTGAAATGTCACATGGGAAGGACAAAAGTTTTTCTCCTGGGAGTGGTCAAGGCTCAACATTTATCAGTGGAGCTTTCGCTCTTTATACCAGGTGGAATGTGATGCCTTTAATAATCACAGTCATTAGAGGAATACAAAAAGTACCCTTCCAACTTTGGTCTCTTCTCCAAAGGATTTTGCATCCTTAAGAGATGATGATGACTCTTGGTTCATAAATATTGTAGGACTCAGGGAAGATCACTTAAAAAAAATTAAAAGGCGGTAACTTCTGAAGTGCTCATAAGGAATTTGCATATAAGATCACAGAGTAAATTATGTTTTATCAGAAGTCTAGATAAAGGGGCAACAGATCTGCTGAATGTATGAATAATATGCATTTTTAAGACATTGTGAAACACATGGGACAGGACAAAAAGTGCAATATATCATATAGAACAGAATCCCACTCAGACTTTCAGCAAATAGCCATTAGATAGCAGCAACCCTTGCACATGGGTTCGGTAGAGGGAAGGAGTAGGAGGCTACTGCTGGGCAATTGTACCTTTTGGCAACTCCTAGCTGGCAATTGTCCCTGAAGTGTGACAGCACGTGGCCTCTATTGGGCATGTCACAGTTCCCCATACAATGGAGGGTGCTGTGTTGCCTTTATTCCTGTTCTGTGAGTGGAGACAAAGTGATGTCATGGAGGCACACCAGCATCATCATGCTTTGGTTGGCTGCTTCCTTTTCTAGCTGGAATGGGGGTGTCAGGGGTCTGCTGTATGACTGATGGGTGTCAGCAATGTCACTCTAGGTTTCAGGACAGTTGCTAGTCTGACAGCTCCCTCGGGTGGGATTTCTTATGGCAATTTTTTTCCTGTCTAAACGGTTTAGCTACACTGGTGTTACACCAGCATCATGGGGCTTGGGATCTTATTCTCGGTTTATAACACTTTACTTCCAGAAAACCATAAGACGCCCTCTATTATGCATCTTCCGTATCAGGACACTAGAATGCTGAATAGACAAAATACGTTTTCAAAGAACACAGAAATCTCTTCTGAAATTCTTTTCATACACTGCAATTTTTGCCATACCAAATGAATGATGATGACTATGATAATAAAACAATACAAGTCCCAGATTACCCCACTAGGAGGAATCTGTTTGAATAATCCAATGAAGGGAAGACTTGCCTTCCCAGGATCCATCAAGAGTTGCTCACCTGTAACCTGAAGAATGGTAGAAGTATTACTGGATCCTTTGGAAGAATTTCCAAAGCAAATATATTTCCCTGCATTACTTAACTGCACCTTTGGAATGTACAGATTCAGTGATGTAGTGTATTGTTGATAACTAACCCCGTAGGTTTCATTCACGTAGACCTGTAGCCAAGGAGGACAAAGGAGGATCATGGCACATGTCAGAAGACAAAACATTGTTTTGTTTATTATTACCTTTACCGAATTCTTCCCACACCTTTAAGGCCCATCCTAAAACATGTGTAGCGACATTGCACAAAGGATAAAGCTCAAGTTACTCTACTTAAATTAAATGGACAGAATACTGACATTATTTATGGCTATACTGCTTCTCAGATTGGAACAGAGACATGAAAAAACCTGTACTGTCACAAAATAGCCTTAAAACAACCATCTGAAACCAACTACTTCTCTTTCTTACCATCATTATCTTGGGTGTAAATCTCACAGAAATAAATAAGATGCATGTTGGCAGAGTAGGCTGAGGATCACAGTCAATGAATAAATTATATAATGAATTGATTGAAAAAAAGAATAGATGAAAAGATGATGGTTTCATAAAATGCTTAGGGAAACATGAAACAGATAGTTTACATCTTTTTACTAATTACTTGTTCTACAAAACCTTGCCATCTCAGTGCTCATCTGCTCCATCCACATTGTAAAAGACATGTTTACAATCCTTACTAAAAAGTATAGAAAATTACTTACATTTGGTGAAGGAGGATAACTCCAGTTGCAATCATATTTGTTGAGACGGTAACTTAGCTCACAGGTGATACTGAATGGTTCACCCAGGATTCTCACATAGTGTTTCTCTCCAATTGTGACAGACACAGGCTTGACTTCTAAGTAAAGTCAGAATGGACTGTAATTATTGCTTTATTAGGATCAACCAGGGGATCAGATATTCAATATTTCCCTAAGGCTGAACTTAAACCAAAATGATGTAAGGCTCATCAAAGATAAAACTGTATAACAAAACAATATTCCATCAAAAAGGTGTGTAAAGTTACAAGAATGTGGTCTTTAAACCAGCACGGTGTAGGGGTTAATATCAGACTGGGATCTGGGAGACTCAGGACTGAATCCCTGCTCTTCCACTGGAGCTTGGGCCAGTCAAACACTCTCAGCTTAACCTGCCTCACAGGGTTGTTGTGAGGATAAAATGGAAAAGAGGAGAATGATGTGAGCTGCATTGGGTCCCCTTTGGGAAGAATCTAAATGAAGTAAATAAACAAATATTGGCACCTGAGAACCAGAATTTTATAACTACAGAATTGGCAGTTCTCATAGTCTGCAGGTAAACATGGAAGAGTTAGAATTGCCAATTACAGGACGTCATTTTCAGATGTGGAAGTTCTCCATCCTCCTTCATGAGTCATAATTGGGTTGTAGTGTTACCTGAATTTTCAGTGGTCTGCTTATCATGTGCATACTTTTTGTTCTTGACTAAAAACACTGAGTGAGACTTTATTTTCTCATACTCATTCTCTGTAAAGCTTTAGCTTTATTCTGCTTTTCAGTTCTCCTGGGCAAGTGATTCTGATTTCTCACTGTGTATCTCACATTTTACAAGATACACAACTTGGCTTTCACAATTTTTCAGTGGTTCTGTAAACTAAATACATATGGTTGAACCACTTTACCGTCTGCTCAGAGGAGAAAACACAAAACAAAAACAGAGCCACATTTGTTCAGCCCGTATCCCACCCCTAAAAAGAAGAAGATGCTTGATGCCACCCCAAATCTTTGTCAAGGCCTTCATCTTTCCTCCTCATGGTGTATGGTTCCACCAGCTAAAAAGAATAAAGTGCTTGATGCCACCCCAAATCTTTGTCAAAGCCTTCATCTTTCCTCCTCATGGTGTATTGTTCCACCAGCTTACATTGGCTTATATAAAACATACATCTTTTCTGTAATTACTTAAGGCAGCAGTAAACTGGAATGTAATGTAAAAAAAGTCAGTGCAGTGGTATCCTAGAATGGAGCCAGGTAATAAAAATATTTTGCAATTACACAGGCATTTCTGCATTCAAGCACGTCACATAGATTATCTTGCTATATAGTTTCTACCAGTGCTTTTTAGGGTAGGCCAATATAACTATCATCATCATGCAAGATGGGCTGACCAGCTTACATTGGCTTATATAAAACATACATCTTTTCTGTAATTACTTAAGGCAGCAGTAAACTGGAATGTAATGTTAAAAAAATCAGTGTAGTGGTGTCCTAGAATGGAGCCAGGTAATAAAAATATTTTGCAGTTACACAGGCATTTCTGCATTCAAGCACTTCACATAGATTATCATGCTATATAGTTTCTACCAGTGCTTATAGGCCAATATAGCTATCATCATCGTGCAAGATGGGCTGCTTTTACATGGAGAACATTCTCAGTATAGCTGGCATTTCTGCTGCAAATACAGATGCATTCACAGAGCATCATTACAGAGGTTTTGCCGGTACTTGCATCACCTCAGCCTGTCATGGTTGCCATTCCTTCCACCTGTGACCATCAGTTGACTCCCCCCCCAGTAAAATCAGTAACTGACAAGTCATGACAGCATTATAACAATCTGTTGCAATAATGCACTAGTTCCCAGCTTTCATTTTAATACAAAGTAAGTCTCTAGCATTTTTCATTGCAGAGATATAAGGGGGAATGTGCAGACTGTACATTGTTGCAACAGATAATTATAATGTTATAATGCTACAGCAATCTGTCAATTACTGATTATTTTTGAAAGCCCTCCCAAATGTCCTGTGTGCGTGGGAGGAATGGCAGCCATGGGGACTGAAGTAAGGAGAATGATGACAGTGTGGGTGGGACTCACCGAAGGGAACACATTCCCATCCATGCAGCATCCAAAGATCATTCCAAAAATACCAAAGGGTATTTTTACAAAAGAAACAGGGTTATAGTTATTTTCTGTGAAATGTTTGGCGGCTTTTATTGTATAGCTCATAGTACTATTATTATAATACTAATATTATACTGTTTTTGTTGCAGTGTTCTTCAATCTGTAGTCCTGCTTTATTGTATGTTTGATATGTTTATGGTGCATTCCCTAATGTTATCTTCCAGTTTATTACATTGTCTGTTGTCTATTGTCTTTATTACATTGTTTGTTGTGCATTGTTCCTATTGCATATTTTTTTGGTTAAGTGATCCACCTTCTGTCTAAGGAAGAAAGGTTGACTATAATGGAGTAAATACAATAAATAAATAAACCAGATTTGGGAAAGATCGTGATAAAGCAGGGGGAAAGTAGCAGGATGAATAGTGGATACTCCACAAAACTGCACTGCATGAGGAAGCCAAGGTGGAGCACACATGCCCCATGGGGGACGGAGTGTTAAACACGTACTGCACTACACATGAAGCCATCCAGTGGGACAAATAGCTCTTCCTCAGAGTTCTTCCAGGTCAGGAAAATGGCATGTGAGGCAAGGCTGAAGCCCCATCTCTCCCTGTACCATAGTCTCCATCAGGGCTTTTTTCTTTTTTCTTTTTTTGAAAAAGAGGTGCCGAAACCCTCAAGAGGGAAATGAAGTTTTCAATCTGTAAACTGAAAACTCATGAACTTTTAAATATTTTAAAAATAATTTTGTCAAAGAGGTTCTGGAACTTTGTTCTGGCATGTTCCCCCAGAAAAAAAAACAACCCTCTGGTCTTGATTCAAATGTTGGACCCATGTGCTTGGGAAAAGTGTTTCCTTGCAGCTGATGTGTATGTGTCAAAGTCATTTTGGGGCAAACTCAAACACAATATGCTTAAAAATCATAACATGAAGTTTGGGTCCAAGTGCAAGGGTCATTTATGGCTGTCCCTTTAAGGCAGGGTTATGCCAGGAAATCTTCAACACTGCTGCCTCTATAGGGTGGGTGTCTTTGCCATCCTTTCCAGCTGCCAATTCATCCCAGGTGAAACCTCTCAATGGGGAACTCTGCTGACAATGCCAACTGTCAGGGTTATTCTCATAAGCAATTTATGTTATAGCCAAACCAAATTGCTCGCTCTTTAATGCCTGCAGCTCACCAAGTAGAATTTTTGTTCACAAGACTCCACAGTTTAGAGGGAGCATTGCTCCCGACTTGCCCCAGACTCTGCTGCTGGACCTGCTCAAGAGAAGTTTTAGGTGTGATCTCTAGGGTAGAGGGCATTTCTCCACAAAGTGCATTTTTTCATCTGAGCCATTTTCAGTGACAGAAATTCCAGTTAGAGCTCCCGTACTTCTTTAGAGGGAGCATTGCTCCCGACTTGCCCCAGACTCTGCTGCTGGACCTGCTCAAGAGAAGTTTTAGGTGTGATCTCTAGGGTAGAGGGCATTTCTCCACAAAGTGCATTTTTTCATCTGAGCCATTTTCAGTGACAGAAATTCCAGTTAGAGCTCCCGTACTTCAGGGCTTGAGTGTACGGTTCAAATCTTTCTCTCAAGCATGGAATTTTACAAATGGTTCCTTCTTCAGCCTGAATAAAAGAGGGAACAACAACAACATACCCTCAAGCTTTGACCATGATGGAATAATCCCCCCCTTTTTCTTGCTAAATCAGCTTAACCACTGATGATATTTAGGGAGAGGGGAAGTGAGAAGAAGTGAATCAGAGCTTCAGTTTGCTGAGGAAGGCACTGTGAGACAAAAACCTTGGCAGTGTCTTTCAGTAGCTGAGGAAACACATTGCAAATGGTTATCATTGCTTTGGGTTAGGTGGCTCCATTCTCTCTCTCTCTCCCTCTCCCTCTCCTGTGTTCCCCCTTAACATTGCTATTCCCCCACTTCTGCTTTTATACCCTGTTCCAGACGCTAAAACAGACTCAAGTTTAGCATGGCCTTATGTACATTACAGTTGGCATGCTGGTAAAATAACTGGTCAAATATTGTCAATTAACTAATTTCACCATAGTCATATGCTGTAAAATATTGCCTGAGGACAAGAATGTTGTTGTGGCATTCTTACCTTTAAACAGTCCTTGTAAAAGGAATGTTTAAAGGTAAGAAACATTCCTTAGCAAAGGACAGAAGCCAGGTCTGCTCCCCCCCCCCCATCTGTCAGGCCTAGCAACAAAAGGATCCTGACCTGGATAGCCCAGGCTAGTCTGATCCCATCAGATCTTGGAAGCTAAGTAGGGTTGGCCTTGGCTAGTATTTGGAAGGGCGACCTCCAAGGAACACCAGGGACATGACATAGAGGCAGGCAATGGTAAACCACATCTGAAACGTCTCTTGTCTTTAAAAAAGTCTAGCTCACCACCTAGTGGAGCATAACACTAAAAGAGCTAGTTATACTGACTGCCAGACAGTTTTAGGATCTCCTAGCTATTCTATGCACAATGCTGTACAATATTTAATTATCACTAAAGGGAAGCTTCTCCTGCTGGCCACCTGCTGTAATTGCAGGGATCTCCAAACAGGAAGATGTCCTTTAGCATAACTTTTTTGAAAATGTGATTTTTATACATAATAGATGATGGTATTGCAGACTAAAAACCCAAAAGAAGAGCTACTGTACAGTGAATCATTTACATTAATAGATACCTTACCTAATATTATTAAAAGCTCCAGTATTTGCTTACCATTTTTAAAAGACACATATAATTTTAAAACAGTTAACTAATCTCTTTATAACATGCATGCAACCTGCTGATTATATAAATATATTTTTGTTGTGATAAATTAAAAAACTAAAATAACAATATTTTGTCAATATTTTACAGTTCAACTGAACAAATCTTTTTGACTAGTCAAATAGCCAATGCTTAATATTACATTATCTATACCTTCACGGTATAGATACCATTTACTTATTCCATTGTTGAGTAAAGTAACAAAGTTCAGGCCATAG